TTGATTTATATTGCTATTGACTGTAGCACTGAAGAACACACACTCTGAGGTCGCTGGTAGGATTGGGTCTTGAATTCTGATGCCACCTGTGCCGAACTGAACACTCTGCCACAAGTGTGGTAATGTTTCTCAGCTCACAGGCACTAGTCCAGTAGTAGTAGGGATGAATTTGAATGTTTTTGTAAGAAAAGTTTCTTTCAAACTTGAGTGCTCTGAAAATAATCACTTTTATCTGGAAGATACATAATCAATCTTTGGTTATCATCTAATTTCTTAAGGCATCAAGAGTTGCAACCTTTTCAAGGAGTGTAACCTTTTTCTTTGGTCTGAAATTAGACATCATAGGCGTTGTGGTGGCCTCGCAAGGCAGATCTGTTGGAAGCTTGTCTGTTTGGTTTCAAAAGAAAATTGAAATTCCATTGCTTCAGTATAACGAAACCTTTAAAAACCTTTAGAAAAACTTTTGTCTCATCTGTATTGAAGTTTTGACTCAGAAATGCCCAAAGAAATGCTCTTTCAGGTCTCAATAACCTACTTGTTCTCTGAAATATTGCTGTTAAATTTCTAAACTGTATTATGTCTGACACTTATTTCAAAGCAAGAAGCATTAGGGATAAGATGAAAGGGTGGAAAAGGACTCTCATGAAAAAACAGAAGCAGAGGAAGCTGAGCCGAGCAGCTGGGTGGCACGTTTGGATCGCTACTGGGGTAACCCTGGGAGCAGCATGTGGCTCTCTAATCAGCTTTCGGCCACTTCGGATTCTGTGCTGCACCAACATCTGCCTTTTAGACATTATCATATTGAAAAAGAACTTTTCTACCCTATCTCCTTCTGCCAAGATATTTATTATTTACTGGCTTTAAAAAATGATAAAAGCCACCATAAGGAGCTCTTCAAGCTCTTTGGAGGGATAGAGTATGTATTCTTGTGAAACTAATTTCAAAGTTTAGGAAGAAGCTTTAAACCGAGTTTAATCACAAAGAGAAAGTTCTTTCGTGCATCTCCTGGTATTTATGTTTACAAAAGAGAGAATTTAAAGAGTGGACAGACTTTTATTAGATCTGAGACCCCAACTAATAGTTCACCATCACCATAAGCAGCTGGGACTTAGTTTATATTTCAAAGGAGTTCGATCTTGTTGCCTGTCAAATGTCCTGGATGTTTTACTGGAAAAGGCAGAGGAATACCTTGAGTGACTGTGAGGAAAAAGCAGAATTCATGCTTACAGAACATCTGTTATTTTCAGACATCTCTGTGCTTTTCAAGTATGTGAGGAGGTAGACTATTGCAGCAGTGTTCTGTTGGAGAATATGTTCTATCCTAGATTTAGGTTGTGCTTAACTTTAAGGATAAGCATAGAGAATTGAAGTCTCTTATTAGAGCAGTGCACTGAGGAATGGAGGTAGCCATAGGAAGTTTTCTTCCTTTCCAATTTTGATGAAGTTTGAGGAGTCCTCTCATTCCTTAGTTAACTCAAGCATCTCCACACCTGCCTTGCTGCACCATGCTGCCACTGCTTATCTTAGAACTAAGATTGTTTCAGCATATCTTTGTGGCTGTAGAACAGGAAGAAGCCGAGGAGCCAAGTCCTAGGACCATTTCTTCCTCTTACCTGATCCTCATGGCTCTAGTTACTCCAGCAGTTGTCTTAGCAACCTTCCCAATACTTTATGTAGTCTCTCCATCCTCTCCACCTCCAGCAACCAAAGCTGTGTGGTGTCTCCACCAGAGTTTCTAGAGATTTGTTCAGGTAAAATGCAGGGGCCACTTCTGCCAAGTGTACCTAGTTAGGAATCACTGGTGTTGGTGCAGTAGATAGCAGTAGACAGTGGGCCTGTGTGTGTGTTGTTTATAGATAGGATCTTTTTATCTTATTTTTTTTAGTTTTTACTTAATGAATGCATTTTTTCATAGATACAACTTTAGGAATACAGTGGTTCTTTCCCCCATGCCCCCCAAACTCCCATCCCACCTCCCTCTCCCTCTCCCATCTCCTTCTTCATTATGATTCATTTTTAGTTTGACTTTATATACAGAGGACCAACTCCATGCTAAGCATAGACTTCAACAGTTTGCACCCACGCACACACACAACATGTAGAGTACAGTTTGGGAACAAAATTTGCAGGGATATGACCTTTTTAAAGAAAAAGTGATGCATTCAATATTTGTATTTCCCTTCTCTGGCTTATTTATTTATTTATTTTAAAGATTTATTTATTTGAAAGGCAGAGTTACAGAGACAGAGAAAGAGGTCTTCCATCCACTGGTTCACTCCCCAAGTAGCCGCAATGGCCGGAGCTAGGCCAATCCTAAACCAGGATCCAGGAATTTCTTCCTGGTCTCCCATGTAGGTGTAGGGGCCCTGCTATGGTCTGCTTTCCCAGACCATAGCAGAAAGCTGGATTGGAAGTGGAGCACCCAGGACTTGAACTGGTGCCCATATGGGATGCTGGCTCTGCAGGTGGCAGCTTTACCCACTACACTACAGTGCTAGCCCCACTGGCTTATTTTTAAGAAAGTGTTTGGTGATTTACTTTAATGTGGCCAAAAGAGAGAGAGAGGTAGAGATAAGATTGTCCATCTACTGGTTTACCTCCCAAATGCCCACAACAGCCAGGCCTGGGCCAGGCTGAAGCCAGGAGCCTGGTACTCCATCTGGGTGTCCCATATAGGTAGTAGAGGTCCAAGCACTTGAGCCATCATCTGCTGCCTCCTAGTATCCATTAGCAAGAAGCTGGACTGGAAGCAGAGCAGCTGGGACTTGAACTGGCACTACCATAGGGGATGTGGATAAAGAAAGCAGCTGTTTAACCCACTGCACCACAATGCCTGCTCCCTCTCAGAATTATTAATGATATATTATAGACTATATTATAGCTGTTCCCCAACAGTATTTCTGTGTTAGTGTTCTGAAGAGATCTGCACAAGACTTAATACTATCAATGATGGGACATTCAGAAGCAAACAAGAGATTCCAATTTGAATTTGCACCAGGCTGTGATCATTAGCACCAAATAAACCTCAATGATTTTGATGCCATGTAACTGACAGCTCTAGAGAAACAAATACGGCTGCTTTTCTAGTCTAGGCTGCCTTATAACCCCTTCAGTTATGGATCTGGATAAGGAGTTCACAGATAAACCAATCCCTCAGGGGCCAGCGCTGTAGGCTAAGCTGGTTCACGTCCTGGCTGCTCCTCTTCTGATCAGCTCTCTGTTTACGGTCTGGGAAAGCAGAAGATGGCCCAGGTGCTTGGGCCCTGGTATCCACATGGGAGACCCCAAAGAAACTCCTGGTTCCTGGCTTCTGATTGGCCATTGCAGCCATTTGGGGGAGTAAAACAGTGGATGGAGGACCTTTCCTCTCTCTATCCCTCTCTCTCTGTAACTCTCTCTCTCTTAAATGAATAAATAAACTCTATCTCTTAAATAAATAAATAAATCTTAAAAAAAAATTTCTGTTTCTCTGAAATATTTTCATGGTAGAGACTAGAAAGAGAAGGGGTTGGATTCCCCAGACTAAGGATCACTTGATTTATGCCACTTGCCTTCTTTTGAGTTTCTTCAACACTCCACTGGCATAGATTCCTGACTGTTATTGTCAATTGCAGCACGCAAATTCCTTTTTGGAATGTATCCTACAGCCCTGGTCCCTCTTTAACTATCGTAAACTTTTATTCTTTATTTCCTTTCAAGGATTTCTTCTTCTGTTTTCTGCTTCTTTCTTTTTCTGTTTTCTCAGGACCTTTCCTAGTCATCTGCTATATTATTATAGATAACAATGATAGATTCTAGGGTCAGAAGGCCTGGGTTCATAGCCCCATCCTGCTACTTTCCAGGTTCATAACCTTGAACGAGTTACTTAATTGTTTGCTTTGGTTTCCTTGTCTGTAAAGTGGGGGTAGTAACACTACCTGTCTCTAAGAATGTTACCATGCTTAAATGAAATGATTCTTGAGATGCTCATAAAAGGGTAACACTCAATGAATGTTAACTCATATTATTAATATTACTACTGATTTTAAAAATAATTTTATGGCTTAAGCCATTTCCTCCATGTAATTGATAATTGATACTTATCTATAACTATGACATCTTCCCCACACTTTAGCCTACATTTGCAGCTACCTTCCGGTCATTTTCACCATGGTTTCTGCTTGCTCTGCAAATGCATTGTGGCCAAACTCAATTCATTATCTTGTACCAAGCTTATCCTATTTTATTTTCCCCCCATGTTTTTGTTAATAACATCATGATATCACAATTTTTGCAGTGTCTTAATTTAGGATTAATCTTAGACTTCTTCCTTAGCTCAGGAGATAATCATGAGTATGTATGGATTTAGTGTAAAAATATTCATTTTTAATCATTTTAAACAGTTGAGAATAAGGGATTTTTAATTTACAAGAAATTCTCTATAAATATTATAATTGCACAGAAGAAAGTTCAATGACAAGAAGAAAAAAGATATTGCTGATAATTGATTTATAATATAATATATTCAGTGTGATCCCATTTTGATTTTTAGAAGTTCATGGATGCAAAAGAAAAGATTAGGAAGAGTAATGGGAAAAATTTTGTTCTGTCTTTTCTGGCTTATAGGATTATGAATGTTTTTCACAATTGCTTTTTCTTCCTCTTAAAATATTTTGAAAATCATCCATTCTTCCACATAAATAAGAAACCCCTCAAGTTTAGAAAAGAAAATGGGATACAGTCATGCAAGTACTAAATTGACCTTTTAATAATGGCCAGGAACAGTGATGAACAGACATGTAGTAGGCATTCAATAAATATTTTGAATGAAATAGTGTTATTTTTCTATGCAGGTTTTGAAGTAGGTTTTTACAGCAAAGAATGCTTAATGCTTTTAGCATTTACTTGTAGAGTGCTTTGCAAACTATTCTTTTTTGTTTGAAGGAAGTTTTTCAATAAATGAAATAAGCCAGACTGAATGTAGTAGATGTTTTCTAATACTATATTGCTAATTATTTCAGAGGATAATGGGATCACAAGGGGAGCATTTGGCACCAGTTCTTCAGAAAAACTTCCTTCAGTAAAATGTACTCATGAAAATGAACCAAATGACCACCACCATCTGGGAAGTAAAACCATATTTCTTCGTACTTCCTCACAATGTTTGGAAGAACAGGTAATGCCATACACATTTATAGAAACAGTCTGAAAAAAAACTTTATGAATTATAAAAGAGACCCTAAGAAACATTGTTCAGCTATTGGTTGGTAATTCCTAATTCTAGAAGGAGTGCTATTGAAAATCACCATTACATTTCATCAACAGCTTTTCTTATGGTAGCTTGCTGATTCTCAGTTTTCATTAGAAACCTCTGAAACACCTTCCATTTATAAATTGTTGTTGAAATGATTTAAATCCTTTAGACCATTCTTTATTTTGGACAAAAGAACTCTTTTTTTTTTTTTTTTTTTTTTTTTTTTAATTTGACAAATAGAGTTAGACAGTGAGAGAGAGAGAGAGACAGAGAGAAAGGTCTTCCTTCCGTTGGTTCACTCCCCAAATGGCCACTACGGTCGGAGTTATGCCAATCTGAAGCCAGGAGCCAGGTGCTTCTTCCTGGTATCCCATGCAGGTGCAGGGGCCCAAGCACTTGGGCCATCCTCCACTGCCTTCCTGGGCCACAGCAGAGAGCTGGACTGGAAGAGGAGCAACTGGGACTAGAACCCGGCACCAAAAGAACTTCTTAAAAATTGTTTTGGTAAAATGAGACTTTCTCTGATCTATCATAGATTTGCCTCTTTAAAACATAAAGTAGAATCTGTTCTCTTGGTTTTTCTAATATTTGGTCCATAAATGTTGATTTATCTCTTACCAATTTTCAAGACTTTATAGACTCTATTCATGTTTTACTTTTTTTTCCCAAGATTTATTTATTTATTTGAAAGTCACTGTTACAAAGAGAGAGGGAGAGACACCCACAGAGAGATCTTCCATCTGCTGATTCACTCCCCAGATGACTACAACGGCCAGGACTGGATCAGGTTGAACCCAGGATCCAGAAGCTTCTTCCATGCCTCCCACCAGGTGGCAGGGTCCCAAACACTTGGACCATTTTTGCCACTTTTCCCAGATCATTACCAGAGAGCTGGATGGGAAGTGGAGCAGCGAGGGCATGAACTGGTGCCCATATGGGATGCTGGCATTGTAGGTTGCACCTTTGCCTGCTACGCTACAATTCTGATACCCTCATTTGGTTTCTAATTATCAAGGAATCATAGTGGAAGTTGTACTGTTAAGGCAATTTGAGTTTGTAGTTGCTGCTTAATCATGTCTTCCCTCCAATACTAGTGACAAAATTTAAGAGGTTGCAGTTTTATACAAGGGGATAAAAGCATCTGTGCTGGAAATGTGCTTATATGTGCAGAGGTCTGCAATTCTTTATTTCTAGAGCCTGCATCCTATGATATGATTATGAAATATGAACTTTTGTTTTTCCTGGCAATTATTGGCCATTGGTATTATTGTCTATTTATTGAGTGTTTGGTCAGAATGTGAGAGGCAAAGAATTGTTGAATGGAATTCTTTTATAATGACTCAAAAATGTTATATTAATGTTCCCTGATTTGTTCATTGGAGGTTCGTTGGAATGAGAAAGGAGGTGGAGAATTCTCCTGTATTACACATGAGAACACTAGAGTTAAGTAATCTGCTCCATCTAGGTTGTATTATGGATGAGTTTAGAGCTCAGAAGTAGAAGCCAGACCTTTGGAAGGCTATTCGCTGACCACTATGGCTTAGTGAATCTAGGCTGTCATGCATCATTTAGTCAACATAGCTACAAGATCAGCTTCTTTTTTTTTTTTCAATTTCCCATCAATGTATTCTCACTGTGTTTCAGATAGTGGTGGAAGAAGGCCAAAAAGTTGTCAGTTTCCTTCAAGGTGATCTGAATCGGGCAGGAAAGGTGAAGGTAAGGCATGATTCATTTTTCTTTCGTGGAAAAACCTAACACACACCAAACAAAAAACACACACTCATTTGCTATCTCTCTCCATTATATGTTTGAAAGGTAGAGTTACAGAGAGAGAGAAGGAGAGACAGGAAGAGAAAGAGAGGTCTTCCATCAACTGGTTCATTCCCAACTGGCAGTAATAACTGGTACTGGGCCAGGCAGAAGCCAAGAACTTCAATGTTTCTTCCATATGGGTGGCAGGGACTTGAGCACCTGAGTCATCTTCTGCTTTCCCAGGCACATTAACAGGGAGCTTGATCTGATGTGGCACAGTAGGACTCGAACTTGTGCCCATATGGAATGCTGACGATGTAGGCGACAGCTTAACCCACTGTGTCATAGCTCTAACCCTGGTTTGCTGTCTCTTATAGAAAACTGGAAGATTCAGCAGATTTTGTCCTTCCAGTTTTTTTTTTTTTTTTTTTTTGTAAATTGATTGAATATCTTAAACTAACCTTGGTTGGCTAGGTTCTCTGATTCTTTTTTTCTTAAATCTTAGCAAATGGAAGGGGATGCTTTGATAGAGAAATGTGATTCTAGTCCCTTTCAGGGTTTGCCATTCACAAAAAATGACAATATAATTTAAGATTCTCAGATTTTAGTAATGAAACCATCATATGGCAGATCAACTTTCGCTGTGGCCTGGAAGCCAAGTGGTGACTATAGTTAGGTACTTCTAAGCAATGGAAGCTTCCATATTACATTCCTGAGTAATAGCCATGGTCTGGTAGATAGAGCCAAAGGACAGAACACCTAACCTATCTTTTGAATTCAAATTATGAAATCTAAATTTGTAATTCAAAGGTGTTTTATTTAGTGCGTGTTTAGATCGTTGAGCATAAGAGGCACTGCAGGCTGGCACCGCAGCTCACTAGGCTAATCCTCCGCCTTGCGGCGCTGGCACACTGGGTTCTAGTCCCGGTCGGGGCGCCGGATTCTGTCCCGGTTGCCCCTCTTCCAGGCCAGCTCTCTGCTGTGGCCAGGGAGTGCAGTGGAGGATGGCCCGAGTCCTTGGGCCCTGCACCTGCATGGGAGACCAGGATAAGTACCTGGCTCCTGCCATTGGATCAGCGTGGTGCGCTGGCCGCGGCGGCCATTGGAGGGTGAACCAACGGCAAAGGAAGACCTTTCTCTCTGTCTCTCTCACTGTCCACTCTGGCTGTCAAAAAAAAAAAAAAAAAAAAATAGGCCGGGCGCCGCCGGCTCACTAGGCTAAATCCTCCGGCCTAGGCGGCCGCCGGGCACACCGGGTTCTAGTCCCGGGTCGGGGGCCCCGGATTTGTCCCGTTTGCCCCTCTTTCCAGGGCCCACCCTCTCCTTTTGCCAAGGGATTCAATGGGAGGATGGCCCCGGGTGCTTTGGCCCTTGCACCCCCTGGGGAGGCCCGGGAAAAAGCCCCTGGCTCCCTGGCTCCTGCCATTCGGATCACCCGCGGGTGCCCCGGCCGCAGGGGCCCCGGCCGCGGCGGCCATTGGAGGGTGAACCAACGGCAAAAGGAAGACCTTTCTCTCTGTCTCTCTCTCTCACTGTCCACTCTGCCTGTCAAAAAAATAAAAAATAAAAATAAAAAAAAAAAAAAAAAAAAAAAAGAGGCATAAGAGGCATTGCAATGTTATTCCTTTGCTAGGCATCATTTGTACCAGTGGTGAAATCATTTCCTTATTTATTCTCTTTGATATTCGCCTGAGATGAATTAGTTCACGACTGAAATGTTACCATTTTGTTAATCTAAAATATCTCATTGTCAGCTTGCCGTGGAAAGCAGTATTCCATGTGGAATAGCTTTTCATTGAAATGCTGCTATTGTGTCTGCAAAGGTCATTTGCTCTGCTTTTTAACTTTGAAGTAATTTTCAGTTTTATTTGCTCAAAAGAGAGAACACTTGATTTTTTGCCCTACTCACCTCTCTTGTGATTTACCCAAGGCAGAATGATTTTGTTTTGAATGAACCTTTCTGTCCTGCTTTCTTTAATTTCTTCTTTTTGGCTCTTCAGAGTGCTATAAGAAAGCATGCTGTTAGAATAACAGCCAGAACCACCACCACCAGTTTCTTGGGAAGCAAAATCCGTAAAACAAAACCAAAAAAGAAAAAGAGTGTTTGGATTGTCTAGGTGGTACACGATGTGTCCTGGGACAGAGTCCGGAATGAAGTCCCTTTTCAAAGCTCCCAGACTGTTTTTCCTCTTTCATTATAGTGATCTGACTGTGGGGCCTATAGAAACTCAGAGAAGCTTCCACATTCACAGCTGCTTTCAGACGTCTCTGGGAAAGCACAGCGAACACAAAGGCTTGGAGCCGGGACTCAGTGGTTCAGGAGGGAGGTAGTTTCAGCTGCTCAGCTGAGCGTTGTAGAAGTGGATTCACTGACTCTTCATTGTGTTTGTTTCAAGCCTAACATACATAAAAAATGCCGTTAATCCTATTCTAGGTAGACCCTCTCCTAGACCTAGAAGATTTGGATGTGGATGAAGAGATTAAGCCTCGCATGAGCAAGGGTATGATTTCTATTTCTTCTCTATACTGTTTGTCCTCTTTCAAGAAACTAGAAAATGCTTTTTTTTTTTTTTTAATGATCTTAGCTCCATCTCCCCTGAGCTAAGTCCTGCAATTTCTGTTTTAACAACAAAGATTTCAGATGAAAAATCAAAACCTTGTGAAGATTATAAAACCTTTGGTCATAAATGAAATAAACCCTCTGCTCAGTTTACCATGTGATTGATTCTGGGCTCGTTATCTGAAGTCTAAAGAGCATAACAGGTTATTTTCAAGGGACACATAAAGAATCAATTAATAATAAAAATCATAAAATAATGATCCATTGTAAATGTTTCTTCTAGGGTAATTTTCACATGTGCTGGACTAAAAGAGGGTTACTGGCAATGCATTGATGTTTATACACATGGTGATCTCTTTCTTTTCCTGGCTAATGTTTCTATGTAAGCATGTATGCCCTTTGTAATGCAGAGAACTTTGACATATGTTCAAAATTGGGTTTATTTGTTTTGAGAACACTCATTCCTGATTCCTTATGCAGGAGTATCTCAACATCAATGTTAAGTTTTAGGGAAGAGGCAGTTTCTTTCTTTTTTTTCTTTTAAAAGATTTATTTTGTATTTGAAAGGTAGAGTTACAGAGAGGCAGAGGCAGACAGAGAGAGAGAGATTTTCCATCCACTGGTTCACTCCCCAGATGACTACAACATCTGGAGCTGAGCTGCTCCAAAGTCAGGAGCCAAGAGTTTCTTCTGGGTTTCCTATGCGGGTGCAGGGGCCCAAGGACTTGGGACATCTTCTACTGCTTTCCCAGGCCATAGCAGAGAGTTGGGTCGGAAGTGGAGCAGCTGGGACTTGAACTGGTGCCCATATGGGATGCTGGCACTGCAGGCAGCGGCTCTACCTGCTATTCCACAGTGTTGGCCCCTGTTATTTTTTGATTTTTGGATGATAGTCATTCTAATTGGGGTAAAGTGATAACTCATTATGGTTTTTCTTTGCATTTCACTGGTGGCTAGTGATTCTGAACATTTTTTCATGTTTCTGTTGGGCATTTGTATTTCATCCTTTGAAAAATGCCTATTCATGTCCTTTGCCCATTTCATTGCTTTTTTTTGAGTTTCTTGAGCTCCTTATGTATTCTGGGTATTAATCCTTTGTCAGATGCATAGTTTGCAAATATGGAATACTGCTGAGTCATAAAAAACATTAAATCCTGTTTTTTGCAACAAAATGGATGGAACTGGAAACCATTATGCTTAGTGAAATAAATCAGACTCAAAAAGAGAAGAATCACATTTTCACTGATTTGTGGTATTTAATGTATACAGTACAAAGTAAAACTTAATGTATGTGAGTGAAATTGACATTTTGGGATTTGATTATTTTATTTAGTGGAGCATTAAGCTTGTGTCTATAAAGTAAATGCAATATATGTTATTGCAAAAATTAAGAAAGAAAGAGAAGTGGAGAGTAGGGTAGTATCATTATATTTTTAGAATTGGATCTATGAACTACATGAAATCTGTTCTTGTTATAGTAATAAAAATAAATCACCTAAAATTAAGAAAATTCAGATAGTATGATGTGCTTGTGTCTTGAACACTCTATTAACCAAAAGACTTTGAAGTTTTTTTTAAAAATTATTTATTTGGTTTAAGTGAGACCAGAGATTTTCCAAAGCAGGGTCTCTAGATTTAATATCCCAGGTGACTGAATTCCTATAAGAGCAGTGTAGGGGGCCAGCTGGATTAGAAGGCAGAGCTAAGGACTTTTCAGAAAGCTACACTGGTAGGGCAAGCACACTGTTTTGAGTTTTGGGTGATTTGGGGAAGGAAGTTTGTTAAAAATGTAGATTCCTGGGTCTTGCTCCTAATAGTCTAATTCAGAAGGTCTCTGTAGTGCCTGGTGATAATGCCTTTTAACCAGCTTCCCAAGGGATTTGGATAGCATCAGTTTGAGGGTGATACTTGGAGAAAAGTGATTCTAATCTGCATGTAATACATTTGTAATATAAAATCAATTTTATAGGAAAAGAAAAAAGTGAATGTGTTGGGAATTTTTGTGATGGTTTAAATTTTTTCTTGCCAGCAGTGAACTGGTATGAATACCACCATAAAACAACATAGGCAAAAAAAAAAAATCAGAATTTTGTTATATCAGTCTTTTAAATTGGCCCTTTTGCCTTTTCCATTATTGTTTTCTAAAAACATTTTTCAAGTTATATTTTACAGTTACTGGATTTGATTTTAAAAATTTGAATGAAAATGTGTTACTAGTATTTTTCTAGAAATCCAATAACAGGTGGTCTTGTATTAAAAGTTGTTGAGGTTGAACCTAGCCTCAGTGGACTTGAATAAAGTAGTCATGCCTGTCCCACATGTAAAATAATATGCAAAAAGCTGAAGCTGAAAACTGACACAGGCTCTAGTGGTCTATTTTAATTACCAGGAAGACCACCAGGGTTTCACATTTTTCATAATGCACAATCTGGGTCACTTGAAAGGAAAAAAGAAATTAAATAGTTTGTGCCAAGGTGAATTTTAATTTGGGCCTAATTTGTATTACACTTCAGGAATGTGAGCAGAAGGCAAATATTTATATCAGATGGGAAATGTGACATTTTAAATAGGCAAGTTGCTTGTATAATTTTGGCAGCTGGGAGGTTTACTGATTAGATTCTGTTGTTATTGGTGAAGCAGCAGATTTGCCTGGGGCAACCGAGAAGTGGGTTGTATATTGTTTTTCTACCATTGAGTTTGTTTATTCACTTTATTCACTCTCAAAAATATTCTCCAGGATTCAGAAGCATAATTCTTGCCCAATATTTGGTTTATATGTTTGGCAGTGCAGGTGGAGAAAGTGAAGACGGTTCTTCAGTGGAGCCAAGTTTGTGTGGTGGTACTGAGCAGTTGTTTGAGCGATTAAGCTTTGCCACTAGTTTGGTGCCAAGTGTTTACTTGAGATCAAGTTTTAACTACTTTTTTCTTCCTTTGAATTTGAGATAAGATAGTTAACCTGGTGATTGTCTTGCCTCAGACAACCTGGCTTGAATTGTGATCCAGCAAAGCTGTTATTATTTGGACTAGTTATTATGCTGAGGCCATTATATGAGGACAAGTCACCTGCTTATTACTTTGTGCCTCCTCAATTTGTTTTGGGAATATGATTCCAGGTTGTTTTATTCCAGGCTCTTGCCCCTCATGAGATAAGCATTCAAAGGGACTTGAGTAAAGCACAAAAATGGGAACAGGATTTATTTAAATAGAGAGTGAATACACATTCAGGCAGGAGTGCAGATGACCAAAAGAGGAGAGATGCTCGCGGTGAGAGAGCTGGAGAGAGTATGTTGATGAAGGGAGAGAGAGGGTGAGAGAGAGCTGGCTGCCCACTCCAGTCCAGTGGACCCTTTGTGGGGCAGGAGTGGTGCCTTAATTGAACATACAAACAGGGTGGGGTTTGGCCCGGGTTCAGTGTGTGTGTGATGTCATCTGGGGAAGTTTTCATGGCATCCCTGCTTGAAGCTCAACTCACTGTGTTCATGGCATCCTCTTGGTTCTGGAGGAAATGCAAATACATCGTGGGAAAGTGAGTGTGCTGGGTTGGCATGCAAAGGGGTGGGGTTATGGTGCCTGGCTAGAGACTCAAACTGCAGAAAGTCTTCCAGCTCCATTGTTCCCTGACTTACTCCTTGCCTAGCCTGTAGCAAGTTGGCTCAGCTTCTCTGGCTGCGTGTAGCTGGTTGAAGAGATTATTTTTTGACATCTTGTTCTCAGAATCATGCTATTTTATTAACATCTCCTGGTCAGCAGGTGTACTTAAGCCAAGGTTGATTATGTTGAATGAGAATTTTCAGTGATCCCTTTTTAAAGAGTGGCAGCTTTGTACAATTTTTATTTTCAAGTTCTCCAGTACTCCCAATGATTTCTAATTAAGTAATGGGCCAGTACATACAAATGAGGGCATCAGTAGTCTATTTATTTTATTTATTTATATTTAAAATTCTTTTCTTGTCTGCAACTTAAAGCAGCATCAGACCAGGACCTCCTATTCAACAAATATTTAAGAACTATACTTGTGCCTGGAATAAAGAAGACTAAAATAGACAAGTTCTTGGCTTTGTACAATTCTTAATTTTTCAGAAAAATAAGACTTTAATCATATAATCACAAATACATGATTATAAAGTATTCTAGATTTCACGAGAGCTTGTAGCAGGGGAACTTTTCTTTGGCACTGGGATCAGAGAAAGTTCTGAGAGCCTGAGATTGAAAGGAAGAGTAATCTTGACTAGATGATGGGAATGGGAGTGAATATAAGGGGCGGATAGTACAGGAACAAGCATAAGGAACAGCATGTGTAAAATCCTGAGCTAGGTGAAAATGGCATATTTCAAGCAACTTAAAGTTCAGACGTGTCATTGATTTCCACTTAGGACTGTTTCCAAATTGTTCCTTCATTGCTTCAATGATCACTAAAACCTTTGAGGGAAAACCCTGTGCTTCAAGATGTTCCTGTATTCCTACTTCTCCAGTCTTTATGTTTTATTAAGGGCCAACTGGAAAGGCACGTCGTCCATAGAGACACATCTTCTGCCCAGTCTTCAGGGTAATATGAGGAAACTTGCATTCTTCAGAATAGATTCTACCCATCTTCCCCAAGGGAAAAGGAATAATTTATCGTATTTTAGAGATTGGGAAAATACACTGAATGTTTGTGGATCCGTGTCTTTGTGCCTTTTTTTTTGGCAGGCAGAGTGGACAGTGAGAGAGACAGAGAGAAAGGTCTTCCTTTTCCATTGATTCACCCTGCAATGGCCTCTGCGGCCGGCGCACCGCGCGGATCCGAAGCCAGGAGCCAGGTGCTTCTCCTGGTCTCCCATGCGGGTACAGGGCCAAGCACTTGGGCCGTGCTCCACTGCACTCTCGGGCCATAGCAGAGTGCTGGACTGGAAGAGGAGCAACTGGGACAGAATCTGGCACCCTGACTGGGACTAGAACCCA